ATGTGCCTGACATTATAGTTTCCTTTCTTCAAATCTTTTTTAAAATGTAAAATATCATGCATTACAGATGCTCTCTTTAGTACTTCTTGATACATAATAGGCCTTAATAAATTTGGTGTACATCCTTCTGATCTGTATTTTTATATTTTATTAAAAATGTGCATCCATAAGTCAGAATACATTGGCATAAAACCACATAGTAAATACACAACCTATTTTACTCATTCTGAAATTTTGTTTACTTTTCTTCCTTTATTGGGGAAGGGCAGTACTGGTGTTTATACTAAGGGTCTTGTACTTAAGCTCTCTACCACTTAAGGTCCTGCTCTCAGCCCCTTTTGCTTTCCTTTTGTTTCTCAGCTAGGGTTTTGTGTGTTCTGCCCATTAGCCTCCTACCTCCCAAGTAGTTGGGATTACAGGCATGCATTATCACACCACACCCTGCACTAGCAGGTTTCTTAAGCCCTGGCTCACTGAACCTGTTTCATGACTGACCTTTAAGAGTCTAGAGATTTCAGTGTCTGTGTTTTCTATCGAAAGGGGCCAAGTTTTGTCCATATTCTTGAGGACTTACATCGAAAGGGCCCAAGTTTTGTCCATATTCTTGAGGACTTACATGTGCTAAATAGTTCTTGCCCAGTGAATGTTGAGAAGCTATGGTCTAGCTCCACCTTCTCGTAGATTTATAAGGAAACTGAAGTCAATCAAGCTGAAGTAATTTATACAAAACCATGGTGAAAATAGATCCAGGTCTGTTATATTGCCTTTCCAGAATATCACATATTTTAGAACTTGGCACTTGCTTGCTTGATTTCTTATATAATACAATGTGAATTAAGTTCTTTTGCATTTTACTCTAGTGGTTTTTTTCTCTTTTAATCACTATTCATTGCTGCAGAAGAGATGGTAAAAATTAATACACTCCTGTAAACTTGTTCAACCACTTTGGAAAGCAGTATGGAGGTTCCTGAAAAGACTTCACATAGAGCTCCCCTATGACCTAGCAATCCCACTTTTGGGCATTTACCCAAATGTTTACAAACAAGACCACACTAAAGCTACCAGCACAACTATGTTTATTACAGCATTATTTACCATAGCTAAGATATGGAACCAACCCAGATGCCCCTCAGTAGATGAATGGATCAAGAAAATGTGGCATATATACACAATGGAATTCTATGCCTCCATCAGAAAGAATGACACTGCCTCATTTGGTAGGAAATGGAAAAACTTGGAAAAAATTATATTAAGTGAAGTAAGCCAGACCCAAAGAAACATAGGTCCCATGGTTTCCCTTATTTGCAGTATCTAGTATATGTATGAGTCAAGCGGAAAAGATCAGATAATGTGATATTAGGAAAATGAACCCTTAGATATGTATTTTAATGCTTTTTTATTTCATGCATTGGTTTCTAACGCATTTATAAGATTATCTCTTTGTTGCTTTGTATGTCCCTCCCCCACAGTATAACCCCTGCTTTCACTATATTTGATGTCAGTATAACTTGTGGAGGAGATGGGGAAAAACAAGTCGTTTAAGGATACAGGTGGACCTGTTGCAACAATGAGAAGTACAAGGTCATGTTGAAAATGAGCTTTACAATGTTGGTGGGGGGGGGGGGGGAAATTGGGGGGGGGGGTAGGGGGGAGGTAGGGAAGGGATGTGAAGGGTAAACAAAGGAGGAGGCTGAAATGCTTGATAAGAAATATACGCATTATCCTGCCCATGTAATTGTAACCCCTCTGTACAGTATGTTCACAAAAAAATAAATAAAATTAAAAAAAAATTAATACACTCCTGACTTTACTGATGGCCTTACATATTGGTACAATTTTTAGGAAAATATGACATGATAAAATATCTTTAAAACATTCTTAGCATCAGTAAGTGATTAGGGTTTTTTGTGGGGGGCAGTACTGTGGTTTGAACTTAGGGCAGCAGGCCTTCTACCAGTTGAGCCATATCTCTACCCTTTTTGTTCTGGCTATTTTTGAGATAGGGTCTTTCCTTTTCCTGTCAGCCTGTCACAATCCTCCTACTTACACTTCCTCCAATAGCTGGGACTTTGGGTGTACACTAACACTTGTAGATAGACTCTCAAACTTTTTTGCCCAGGGGCCCTGGAACCCTGATCTTTTTTTTTTTTTTTTGGGTCTGGTCGTGGGGCCTGAACTCTGGGCCTGGGCACTGTCCCTCAGCTCTTCAGCTCAAGGCTAGCGCTCTACCACTTGAGCCACAGTGCCACTTCCGGCTTTTTTCTTTTTGCTTATGTGGTGCTGAGGAATCGAACCCAGGGCCTCATGTATGCAAGGCAAGCACTCTACCACTGAGCCATCTTCCCAGTCCGAGCCACGATCTTTCTGATTTCTACCTCCCAACTAGCTTAGCGATGTAGTATTAACCATCAACACCAAGGTCAGTAATTTTATTTTTTTGTGTGTCCTGGGGCTTGAACCCCAGGCCTGGGCACTGTCCCTGAGCTCCTTTTGCTCAAAACTAGCATTCTACCACTTGAGCCACAGTACCACTTCTGGCTTTTTCTGTTTATATGGTACTGAGGAATGAAACCCAGGGCTTAATGCATGCTAGACAAGTGTTCTACCACTAAGCCACATTCCAGCCCCCAAGCTCAGTAATTTTATAGTGAGAAAAATTAGGCAAAGTTACATATAAAATTTTTCATCAAAGTATTAGTTAAAATGGGAAATATTCATTAATAGGATAATAGATAAATCATGTTGTCTATTCCATTGACTATGATGTTGCCACTAAAACAGCTTTTATAAGATGTTATACAATAGGTGGAAAGACAATACAATATTAGGTGAAAATCAGGGATACAGAATCTACTTATAATTACAATTTTATAAAAAAAATCTATGCAGGAGAAAGAAATAGAAACAACAAATAATAACATCATTTTATTATTTTTCTTGATGTCAAATGTCAGGTAATACAGTTATAATCATATATTTAAAAGGTAAAACAACACTATTGATTGACATCAAATGCAATGGATTTTAATGAGAATGTAACCATATACTTATCATGTTAAAAGCATTCACAGGCTTTTTTGTAACCCAATTTTGTAGACATTAGAAGGTTGTTTTCAGAATTACCTGTAAGAGTATTAAATTACTGGCTGATTGTATTCAGTATTCACAAGTCAGTCAAATAGCTATTCAATTTACAGATTTTTAAATTATTCTTAAGTAAATAAAAGTGACAAATAATTTACAAAAATAATTTTGTAATTGTACATCATCTATGAAATCAGGAAGACTTTTCCCCAAAAGCAAGGTTTCCTTTGTAATGTTATTAGTATTTCAGTTTAAAGTTCATTTATTTAAGCATTTTCTTAGTGTCGTCTGCCTTAGGATCTTGTCATATGCTCTTATCTCAAAATTTCTCTTTAGTAGAGTTATTAAACAAAAACAAGCATGCTTATTCAAAATAAATTCATTTCCAGTTTCTACACACACATAAATATTTTTGTTTCTTCCCGGTCAATAAACACTTATAGTGACATATATGTATGTGTGTGTGTGTGTGTGTGTGTGTGTGTGTGTATGCATATATATATTTCAAGTTTGCACAAGAACGAACCAGCAGGGGGCGAAATACAATAGGGATAAATTTGACAAGCCCTTGTAGATTTTGTCACTTTCGTGACTGAGCAATAACAAAACAGCACGCGCGCGCGCGCACACACACCTCCAGCACCACCACAAAGCAATTGGTACCCTAATTTAAAGTGATACGGCCTCCGTGTATCTTGCAGCGACTTGAGTTGCAAAAGCACCAGCGCAGGTCTGTGTTCGTGCTCCAAGTTAATTTGTCTAGGAGACTGTCGATAGCGGGCTAAACCGTGATCAACTGCTATTGTCCTGCTCTGTCCCCGACGTACAGAATTCCTTCCCTCAGAGGGAGGGACGGACACTTGTCTAGGATGAACGGTAGCTTTCTGTCCTGTTCCCCCCGCACCCCCGCCACCCCGTGGCTGAGTTTTGCTGTGTGGGAACTATTTTAAATCATTGAGATTATGGATGCGGAGGCTCGGCACACGTGGGCAGAAAGCGGAGCCGGCGGGTTCTGGTTTGTACGGTAGAGTCCTCACCCGTCATCTGCTGCAGGAACAACCCAGCAGCCTCCCCCCGCCCCCCCCCCGGCCCCCGTGCGTACCGGGGCGGGGTGGGGGAGAGTATCTAACAGAGTCATAACCCAGGAGGGGAAAGGGGGGTGAGAGTGCACAAATCAACTGCCCGGGCAGGACGGGCGCTGGAAAAGCATCTGGCGTGACCTCTGCCGGAGCAGTGCCGGGAGATGCTCGAGTTGATGGAAGCCCGGTGGAGGAAGACCCCCGGCGCCGTTCGTTAGCAAAGTCAGAGACGCCGCGTCCTCTTGTTGCGTTGGGTCTCGCCATCACCTCTTTGTTATTTGTGGACGGTCAGATTCCTCTCCGGCTGGCTTACAAGAAAACAAAAGGGACTCTAGCGTGGAGAGTCTGATGAACGCGGCCCTGCAGGGTTTTTGTGGCTGTTTTCTTTTGGTGGGGATCTGCTTCTGTATTCCCAAACCTCTGATTGTTTTGGTTTCATTTGGGGGAGACCACTCGGTCCCGGGCTGAACCCTAACGGCAAACCAGGCTGGAGAGCGTCGGTGCCCCGCAGCCGGCAGCGACTCCGCGGGCGGCGGAGGGCGGGCGGGCGGGCGGACGTCAATCTCTAACACTTCAGTGACTCACAAGGAAAGGGCAGTTTGCCCTCACCCAAAATGGCGGCCGACGTTCGGCGCTACGGCGCCTGCGCAGGGGTAAGCGTTCGGTGACACCAATTCCCCTAGTGTCCTCCTCCCCTCCCCAACCCTCCGCACCCACCAGCGCCCGGCCCCGACCTAGCCACCTGCGCCCGGAAGTGACGTATCGGCGGCAGCGGTTCCCCCGCTGCATGATGGGAGAGTGTGTGGAGTGGGCGGGGGTCTCCGCGGAGGAGGAGGCGGAGGAGGCGGCGGCGGAAGAGGGCGGAGGGTAGTGGGATGGGGGTCCCGCGGCAGCGCTGAAACTCCGGGTGGGCGTCCATGGCGCTGCTGCGCTGACAGGGCTGGGGACAGCCTGCCTTCCGCTCTCGCCAGCTCTACGTCCGAGTAGCCGGTCCTTCCCCGGGGAGCCAGTTCCTCCCCGGGCCCCTGAGCCATGCCCATCGCGGCCGCCCCGGACGAGCCAGGTAAACGCGGCCGCTCCGCTCCCCCAGCCGCGCGGGGTGAGAGGGTGCGGGGACCCGGCCCGGCCCACCAGCCGGCTCCTCGCCCTGGCCTGAAGCACCTGCCCGCCGCGGAACCGGGGACGCGGGACCGAGCCGGCTCTGCGGGCCTGCGGGCTTCGGGCTCTGCTCTTTTACGCGGCGGGCGAGGGGACGCCGCTGGCGGCGCCTGAAAGCGCACGGCACGGTCCGGGCTCGCCCTCGCAGGCTCCGATCGGGGGAGTTGGAGCCCATCCCGGTCCTGCCGCCGCGGACTCGCCCTGGCCTGCCGCCGCCACCCGCCCGCCGCTTCCCGGGAGCTGTGGAGAAGTTTGGGGCTTTGCACGGGCTTCCTCCTTCTCCCTACCCCCCACCCCTCCCCTCCCTCGTGACAGGTGTAAACACTGCCCGCGGCGCCGAGGCCCCAGGCCGGCCGCGACCGGAGGGGGCCGAGCCCCGCGGGTTTGGAATCCACCCGCCAGCAGCGGAGACGACCCCCCCCCCCGCCCCCAGACTGACATCGTCTTTTGGGGGGCGCGGAGGCGGGAGACTTTTTCTGATCTCTCCTTGAACTCCTCCAGAAACCATCTACGTCTGAAAGTTGAGCCATTATTCTTTACGCGTCCGGCTTGGCAGGTGCTGCGCCTTTTCTTGCTCAGGGCAGGGTCAGAGGGTGAGTGTGTTGGGTTCTTTCTCCCTTTGGAGAACGGTGAGAATAGTTGTGGTCTCCTTGTCAGTGTATTCAAGTCATTCCTTGGTTTCCCGTCTTCTTTAGGGGTTGCAGGGAGGACTCTTTTTAAGTTGTAAATATTTTACTGGAGGGAGGGGGAAGGGATGGAAGCGTTAGTTCCGTTTCGAAATGCTCACTTGAGAAGAAGTACATTTTTTTACACAAAACTTTTCCACGGGCTACTTCTCATAATCCGAGTTTTTTTGTTGTTGTTGTTGTGGGTTTTTTTTTTTTTCTCCACCCCGCTTGGGGAGAGGTTCGCAGTTTGATGTTACATTTGTTACATTTAATTGTTGCTTTCAGTTTAGCTGGGTGAATACTTGGAAAACTCTAGGTGAAACAATTATTTCAACTCCACCGCTTTGAAGTAGTTAGCACAGTTTACTTACGACTTACTTGTTTCACCAGGCTTAAATGTTGTCCTTTGTACTAGTCGTTTCTAGCACTTTGCAGAAGTATACATGTTTCAACAAGATATCTGTGGTGATCTTCTAAGTTTTCTCCATGAAGATCTTTCACTTGCCGTCCAAGATCCTGCATAAAAATTTCTAGACCAGTAAATGATGCCTACTAGATACTCATTAAATATAGCTATTTCTCTGTGTATTGAATTAGATCAATTTGTCTTCAGTCACACACACACACACACATATAAATACACGTCATTAAAAAAATCTCTTGAAAGAAATTGACTGGATTCCAGATAGTATGTAGGACACTAAAGTTTTGACGTTTTCTGATCTCTTTACCTAGACACTAAAATGATAATGGTCCTATGCAAAACTAAGCTAATGTGTTGCATTGCCAAATTCTACTGAATCCAGTTTTTATAAAAATTATATAATCTAAATGAATCCTTTTTTAAAACATTTTAAAATTTTATTCTGCTTAGTTAAAAAAAAACACAAGAAAAATAGTGCTTAACAGGCAGTCTTTCAGTAGCATCTCACTAAGGAAATTTCCCTTGTCTCCTAACCCTCCTCTCAAATCACATAAAAGAAGGCTTCAAAGTATTTAGATATTTTAAAAATCATCATGAATTAGTTAGGCCAAAAATTTATATTTGATTTTAATGTTACCTCGTTTGTAAATTAAACAAAAAAGCTTTTTCTCTCTATTGTTAGTACCTTCAATTCCTCTATATACAGGCTAGGGAGCCTTTTCAGCTTCAACTTCGTAATTTGGTTTTAAAGAAAGTTTGAAAACATCTGGCATTATATGGATTTTACACATAACATTTTTGTACTTACACTTTTCTTAGCATATGTTTATAGATAGACACACATAATCACAGGTCCTTTTACAAATTTGTATGTTTATTGCTAACATGATATGCACTGCTTCCCATGAACAAGAAACTTCCTGTTTTGTTTTTGTTTTTGTTTGTGCTGCAGAGGAAACCTCAGGCCCCTCACATGTTAGGCAACCGCTCTGTCACTGAGCTACAATCCCAGCTCAGGAAGATACTTTTTAAAATGCTTTCTATGCAGTATATTAATTCATTTAATCCTCACAGACTGTAATAGGTAGTGCTGTCCCCATTTCTTTCCAGGGGAAACTGAGGCACAGAGATAGTAAATTGCCTAAAGAAAACAACTGGTAAGTTACAGAGTAAGGATATAATAGATCATTTATATGGTTTTAGAACATGTAAAATTTAGAATGAATCTTTAGAAAAAAATCAAGTATATTTGGTAAAACAAAACAAAAACAAAAACAATTGCATGGTAGGTACTTCATTATTCACTCACCACCATGCTTTGTTATATGCTTGAAATCTTTCATGGTAATATTTAAAGTTTAGGTGTTGAACTGCAAAACATGTTAGCATGACATGTCTGTCAGCATTGTTTCAGAAGAGAACAGGGAAGAAGTTAGTGTTGTTTTGTATTTTAAAAGCTTCTACCTTAAACATATTTGAATGAAAAATAGCAGCCAGGCATGGTGGTGTACGCTTATAATCCCAACATTCAGAAGGTAGAGGCAGGAGGATCTCCAATTTGAGCTGAGCCTGGGCTACATACTCTTATCTCAAGAAATAGAAGAGAGTGTAGTGGAGGACTTAAGCAGCTCAAGTGGAGAGTGCTTGGCTAACATGCTTAAGTCCCTCAAGTTTCCGACCCGTATTGAGAGGGGAAAAAAACAGTTAGTTTCTCCAGGTTTCTCTGAATTAACTTCTCTTGCCTTGGCTCCCCTCTAATTGCTACCACCATCTTAACACCCTCTATAACTACTGAGGTTGCATTTCCTCCCCCCCCCCTTTTTTTTTGTTGGTTATGGGGCCTGGGCATTGCCCCATAGCTCTTCAGCTCAAGATTAGCATTCTACCACTTGAGCCTCAGAACCACTTCTGGTTTTCTGGTGGTTAATTTGAGATAAGAGTCTGCCTGGGCTGAGGCATGATCCTCAGATCTCAACCTCCTGAGTAGCTAGGGTTACATGAGCCACCAGCACTCAGCAGAGTTTGTATTTCTGGCCATACCCTATTGGTATCCTGACTAGGTTAATTCTGTGGGAAAGAGAAAAGGTCAGAAACTATTCAGTTGGAGAGGAAGAGGGGCCATGAGGATTCATTGCTCATTGGTTCCAGAGAAGTGAAAAGAGAAGGAAAACAAATGCACATCTATTCTTACAATTCACAACTTCCCTCATTCCAAATAATAACTTAAAGGTAAGCTTTTTAAAGATAAATTGCTAATAGATTAAAAGTCTATGTGTTTAGAGCTTAATTTACAAGCACTGTATTAGTGGAAAATTATGTAGTAAATGGATAGATTTTCTATAGATTATATTCACATAAATGTAGCATGTTACAAGGTATTTCAATGAAATAACTGCTATCACCATGTTATCGTCTCCCTTTCTTTCTTACAAGAGTGTACTGAACACTGCTATGATTGACTCTTCTGGGTGCTAGGATACTGAAATGAACAAACAATCTCTGTCCTCTTAGATCTTTGTTTTCATGTGTATGTGTTCACGCATACACACATGCACAAACATGCAGGCTTGTATGTATTTGGGACAGAAAATAATAGCAATAAGATTGCAGTGGTGGGTCACACCTGGAACCCTAGCTAGCTACTCAGGAGGTTGAGATTGAGAGGATCCAAGCCAGCCCAGGCAGAAAAGACTTTGAGACTCTATCTCCAAAATAACCAACAAGGAACAGAGCTAGAGAAATGGGTCAAGTGGTAGAGTGCCAGCCAGATACACAAGTTGAGTGAGCATGAGGCCTAAGTTCAAGCTGATAAAGAAGAAAAAAAATTACAGATGAAGTTAATATGAAGAAAAAAGAATCAGTTTGTACAGTATGGGAATATCCCTTTTCCACTTTGGGTTAGGGATAGTCTGAGGTTGGAGAGAATTAGTGGAAGTTTCTGTTTAATGAAGGATAGGGTTAGAGAAGGCTTAAAACCTGAAGGAAACAGAACAAATTAAAAGTGTTAGAGGCAGATTAGTCAAACTATCTATGGCAGGGAAATCTGACGTATTTAGAGTAGAATGAGCAAATAAGAAGTAGGGATAAAATCAGTATTAGAGGTGAGTGCAAAATGTTGGAGATACCTTATAAAAAAAAGTCTAGTGACTTAAATTTATGTGCAATGAGAAATAACTGCAGGGTTTTTGAGTAAAGGTGTGAGATAATTAATGCTGTCAGAAGGACTTTGGGAGGAGAGAACAGGAGGATTGTGGTTTGAGACCAGCATAAAAATTTAGGGAGACTAATTTCCTGTGGAATTGTGAACAATATCATGGTCCCAGCTGGGCCCAAAATACCAGATCCTATCCTAAAAGATAACTAAAGCAGAAAGGCTGGGAGTATGGCTGAAATGGTTGAGTGTCTGCCAACTAAGCAGGAGGCCCTGAGTTCAATGCCCATTATTCCCCCAACCCCCTCAATCTGTGTCTGTCTGTCTGTCTGTCAGTGGTAGAATATACTTGCCACATGCAAAACCCTCGGTTTAATCCCCAGCATCTCCTCAAATAAAAGGAGCTATATGGCTGATGTTTAGAAACGTAGACCAGGAATAAAAGAGTGGAAGCAGAAATACTCAATTTAAAGGTGTTTACGGTGTTACCAGTTCCAAGATTCTAGTGGCTAGAACTAAGGGGGTATCAATAGAGGTAATAAGAGGTGGTAGAACAATTACTTGAATTGGAAATGTCTATCTCTCCATTGCTAAATTCAAAACATTTACAGAAGCACTTCCTTCTGAAAATTGAAAGCTGCCACACTGTTATTCCAGCCCAC